TGCATAATATGGTATATAATGTGAGAAGGTATAACCGTACATACTGTGAGAATAAACAACAGAGTATATAATGTGAGAATAAATAATACCGTATATAATGTGAGAAGGTATAACCGTACATACTGTGAGAATAAACAACAGAGTATATAATGTGAGAATAAATAATACCGTATATAATGTGAAAGTAAATAATACCGTATATACTGTGAGAATTAACAACAGAGTATATAATGTGAGAATAAATAATACCTAGTATAATAGAAGAATAACCAACAGATGATATAACGTGCCGATAAATAATACCGTATATAAAGTAAGAATAAATAATACCGTATAAAATGTGAGAATGAATAACAAATATAACGTATAATAAAAAAATACAGAAAAAATACATTATATAATGGGAGAATAAATAATACCGTATATAATGTGAGAATAAATAATACTATATACGATGCGGGTATAAATAATACGGTATATGATGTGAGAATAAATAATATAGTATATAATGTGAGAATAAATAATACAGTATAAAATGTGAGAATAAATAAGACCGTATCATGGTTTGAGAATAAGTAAAACCATAAGTTATGAGGTAAACTTCTGACACAGGTGCAAACAAAACAAACCCTGATCTGTTGTCACAAATTAGAAGGCATATCAGAATCTTTGAGAGTGGAGATCTGCATTCGGATCCAACTTATATGCGGTAACATTTATTCCATGTGTCATATACCTACACATTTGAAGTTGAATCCATATTGCTTCGAAAATGTCCCATCATTCCCAAAACAAATTGTTTTAAAGAATATGTCAGCGGTCTACAAAGTGCACATGTGATTTGATTGCATAGATTGCACGATTAGTGAAAAGTTCATTTGACAGGAAAAGCTGAGGTGTTTCAATTACGCATTAATAAAATAAGATCAAACTGAAACGGTTAAAGAACCGATTGGATAATTGGATTCAAACTTGCTGCCGTATGCTTACATTAATAAAACGTTTTAAATGCACGAATGAACCATTCTTCTTACATTTCATTTCATAACAGGGTTGAGTCGTTTCATTGGTAAAACCGCAATTTTTAACTATATATATATATATATATATATATATATATATATATATATATATATATATATATATACATACATACATACATACATACATACATACATACATACATACATACATACATACATACATACATACATACATACATATACATACATGCATACATACATACATACATACATACATACATACGTACGTACGGACGTGCGACGTACGTGCGTGCGTGCGTACGTGCATGCATGCATGCATGCATGCATGCATACATACATACATACATACATACATACATACATACATACATACATACATACATACATACATACATACATACAGACAGACAGACAGACAGACAGACAAACAGACACAGACACAAATATGAAAAATGTTATCATGCGTACAGGTACATTTACAAATAATACATATATGCCAGTTCAGTTCATTATCTTCCTATTTATTTAAAGTCATTTTTTCGAAATTAAAACATAAAAAATTGCAACTTGTAATTACAAATTATATGCAGAGAAATCAATTACCGCAAAAAAGGTTTTAATCCAAAATGACATGCACAGCGAAATGTACATGTATATTGGTTAGCAGATACGCTTACGATATAGCTAGACGCATAACGTTGAATGACGAAGAGGTTGTTTCGACTTTGCATGTACATAGTGGTCACAAACGATTTATGTAGCACATGCTGGGAGTATACTATCACTAGACATAGAAATTAACCGCAGCTAGCAGTAAATGAAACATAGGTGAGAAGAAGACACAGAAACTAAAAGCAAACCAATTCTAAATATGCAACAGATTGAGCAACAACACCTAAACTAAGGGAGGCAAATCAAGCTAAATTAAATATAAGCTGGAAAGATTTAGAACATCATGCTGTATAGAACATAATGCAATAGAATTTTGGACTATATACAAACTTCTGAATAGAAGAAATATAGAATAGTAGTAATTAACATTACACAGATGACGCAGGCGTCTGATACATGCCAGATAATATATGTGTGTTGAAATTGTTAGATTTGACAATCATACCGGTTCACATGCTTATCTTTTGAACCCGGGTCACGTGGTTACCCGTGTCACGTGAGATCTTAACGAGCAGATTCGAAGTCCCAGTGTTAATAACAATATATATATATATATATATATATATATATATATATATATATATATATATATATATATATATATATATATATATATATATATATATTTCTTTTTTTTACTTACCATGTTATAAATAAATGCCAGTAGGTCAAGTTGGACCATGTTCAGGCATGTAGAATCATGTTTTCTCCAAACGTTTAATAATTTTTAAAACAAATAAATACAGTTTTATCTCATCTGTTATTACTGCAGCTGGTATATTAGTTCGTTTCGCGCCTGTTAAAATATTTTTCTCCGGCCATTCACATTTCAGCTGGCTTAAAATGTTCATGGATTAATTTTAGTTAAGTCGCTTACCAAACAATGTAAAATGTAAGTGATCACTGTTTGTGAAAATATAAACGATTCTGTACCCTTACATAGTATGTTTATAGTAAAAACTCTTTTATTATAAGGGCCCCAAGTGGCCGAGTGGTCTAAAGCGCTGTCCGTTACGGATCACTGCCATCTCATTCACCTCTATCTGCGTGTGTTCGAGTCTAGGGTTCGTCGAATGTGGGTGGATATGTGAGAAAGCTTGCCAGTAGCTTTTCGTGGGTCGGTGGTTCTTTCCGGTGATTTCCCGGTTTCTTCCTCCACCATTAATACTGGCCGCCATGAATAGCCTATCGTGTGCTGAAAAATGGAGATGCATCTAAAGTAGAATAGTTGTGGAAAGTTCCACCTTCGTAGTTTTGTAATATCAAATAATATTTTAACAAGGATTCTCTTTAGTCAGGTGGTCACTCCACTTTCCCAGCGTTTACACTAGTACCTGAATATAGTTTTATATCTGTGATTAAAAATAATTTACGAATGAATGACACGTAGCGTTAATAGTATGAAGTTTGTAACATTCTCGTAAATATAAAGCACACAAATCCTTTTGCAGGTACCGACACTTCATTTTCTGTTGGCTATGATGTGGTCTTTTCCACTGACATCGACTGTGATAAAAAAAAATGTATGACTATATGAAAAGCATCGTAGGTAATGTACGTTCTCAGATAACAACAAACTTCACAGACCAGGATTTTGCCGTCGTATACTTCGCTGGTAGATCTGGGTCTGTGCAGTTTGTTAGGGGTAATCAGAAGTGCAAACAAGATCGATCCTAATAATGAAGATCTGGATTTGTATTGTTTACAATTTGACTCGACTTATATTGCTGTATATTGGATGAGTAGGGAACTTCCAACATCTTGTGGGAGAGACAGCCCTTTCGTCATTACTTGCATCTCGAGATCAGTCGGGAATATTGGCTGTGCTCATCAAATGCGTTAACGCAAGTGATGCGTCTTGAATTTTAATGCCCAGTTGATTGATAAGCTTCAATTAAAGAACTAAAATAGAATAAAAAATAAAAAATGATAACATAAAATACATTTTATAACAAAATATCATGTACCAATTTGTTCGAAACAGCAATACATAATACATGTATTAGAATATTTACGAATCTTGAATGTCACTCAAGAGTTAGAATTTTTTGGTAGATTCCCATCTACAAATATAACATTACATCCTTTGATTCTCACATAGTCGTATATTTTGTTTATCACAGTGGAGATGGTCTTTTGAAATTTAGCAATGCAAATGATAACCGACAGGAAGTGAGGTGTCTGCTCCTGCAAACACAAGTGTACTGCTTTACGAGAATGTTATGATATGAACACTCTTAACACAATGTGTTATATATAAGTATACTTGGGATGGGTGGTCGTTTTTTTTTAGAAAATAAATTCCAGTAACACCTTAATGTGCTATTGCCGCTTGTTTGCAGGTTACTGCATTATGTCTGGAGAATTATGAAGATATGCAGACTTCCTCCTCATTAGATAGTTGTAAAGTTTAGAAGCCTTTTTAAGATGCTAGGAATTCTCTATATACATCGTCATTGTCGATTGTTAATCTACTGGATGTTTGAAAAACGACAAATACTAAAAGAAATATTGTCATTGTCTAGGTTTATGCTAAATGACAGATTATGTTTCAAAACAACGACCTTTCGAAAGAAATGCCGATTCCTGTAATGGCTTCCTTCTGTGAACACATCACAAATGTGTGACCATAATGTCGATCAAAGCAATAACGTTTCTAATCTTCAAGAGAAAATGTTTCGTTTCCAAATTAAGATGATTCTCTTGTATGAATTATATCATTGGCTTTTACAGTTGTCTACACATGTCCAAAGAAAGGTTGTCATCTCTTGCAAAAACTATACAAATGCGCAAAAGTTGAAACCAAATATTGTTGGAATTGTTTTGTTTGGCAATAACGCCTTCCTAAAAATGTTTTAGATGTACAATAGTCGTCCGGATAACACCATCATGAAAGGAAGTTGATAGTAAAATTCAGGCTAGTTTTTCATCATTGCTGTTGACGGCGGTGACAATCATTATGACGGCATTGGTAACGGTGGATACGAAGCGGTGCATTTTGGTAATTTCTCCTTAATCGTAGAATAATCTTCCCTTTTTATACAATTTTATGAACACCATGTTGACTTTGTGCTGCATCATTTCTTGAAAATTTCTCGTCGCAGAAATAATCACTATTTTCAGGCATCTTGACGCATAACCAGAAAAACAAAAAACATAAAATTTACCAATTTTTCTTTTCTTTTATTATGTTCTGTACCAGTTAGTTTTCTCATGATGCAGGTGTAATAGTCAGCTATAAAACGATAACACATTACGTTAAATAGAAATTTTGAATGGATATCGAAACTGCATGTATTACTCGTGTTATTTTCAACTAACTCAGGTGGCCTAGTAGTTAGAGCGTCTGTCTCGGATGCGGGAGATCGCGGATTCGAACCCCGACTGAATCATACCAAAGACCTTTATAAAAATGCTGCTAACAGCTGCCTTGCTTGGCGCTCAGCATTAAAAGGTTAGTTTTAGGACTGGTCGGCCTGGTGTCAGGATAATGTGACTGGGTGGGACATTATGCCCCAATGATAGATATTACTATAAACTGTGACACTGTAGACATCGTAGCAATAGGACTGAAAAATTGTTAAAGCTACATTAAAAATCTAAATCACACATACACATACGCAAATTGTCCAATGAGCGCAGTGAGGACTTTGCCAACTAGATTTTGTTGCTACAATACAGAAAAGTTATAAGCCCAAACATGTATATTAACTTCTATAATTCATAACGTCGCCCAGTTTGCTCAGTCACATGACCTGATTCACATAGCGATTTCATCTTTGTAAATGTAGAGAGTTGCCTGGCGTACATTCATCGGTGTTTTCACCATATCAAGCCTGTGTTGGACTGCAACACAAGCAAGCAAAAATCTCAACGTGAAGATTCCATACATTTGGGCTCAGATGGAATGTAAATACAAAGACCAAAATATATATCTTGAGGTAAAACGTTGTGTTATCCTGATTAAGAACCACGACAGCCTCTGTAGTACTAGAACATTGGTGAAAGCCAAAGGCACACCTGGACAAAAATGAGGATGCTATATTCAAAGGCAATGAGTTATTCACTCTTTTGGGACAATGTTTGCTCTTGAAAAAATATGGCATGGAAGAGGTTACACGATGTTAGGCTGTCACTGAAGTTATCATATCCATGAAATGTAAAGCGAATATTCAAATATATAATTTTTCATTAGCCAAAAGTAGAACAGAAAATATGTGTAGCTCACTGACGATCATTATGATATACCCGATTTATGTAGTTGTCATTCTTGTTTGAAACTTTTTAACCACAAAAATATCTTGGAAGAATGCGTCGATATTTGCAAAACAGAAATAGAAAACTCATTCTGCATGTGGCTGTTTTGTGAAGAAAATAACACTGCTTTTGTTTTTGCAATAAATTCAAGGAATATGATTCATTTCCAGTTTAGGAATACCTGTGCAATAATTGAATCCTAACATTCTTCCAAAAAGTGTCAAAGCATATATATTGAGGTTCTTGCTTGTAGCACAGATATGGCTGACTCTGTCAGTTTCTTAACCATGTCCATTTCCAATTGCCAACTATGGTTTAGTCAAATGTACTGACCAGAGGCTACTTCTCACATATTTTCAAGACTGCTCCGTTGGCCTATAGACGTAGTACAATATCATCATTTAGACTGTGTTAGGAAGTTTCCGACAAAGAGAAGACAAAGTACCGTGTCACACACTGTACTCTCTCTTCAATAAATCTGGGAAAAGGTCCTTCAGCATTCCGAGTCATCTTTTACAAGTCTGTAACAAGAACATCATAAAGTACAAATAGATTCCTCGCTGCGGAATACACGTACCAGTGTTACCTGCCAAGATTGACAACACTGTCAGCAAAGCAAAGATGAACAAGCTTTCCGAGGAATATGGACAACTGATGAAGTGAAGACGACTTTCAAAAAGACTATGAGAATGTATATGGCATTACACCTTGATATTGTGGGTATAGTACGATCCTAAATAATGTCTGGGGACATCTTCACAGAACATGTTAACATGTGTCTAAAGATGAAGCAGGACACCATAGAATAGAGAAGAATCCCGGCATCAGAGCATAAACGAACTGATATTAATCAGCTTCTGTACCAATGTAGGAAAAAGATCGAACAATGTTCGATTAGAGGATGTTATGGATTTATCCATTTGCTTTGGCAGGGTTTAGCAGATAGTAGCGAGTGTTGATGTTAGCAACTGATGAATAATAAATTTGAGATGGAAACATACAAATAAGTGGAATCATCCGTTAGAAAGAATGCAATGTATGTAGATATGGCGAGTTGGACAAAAATGACACTTACCTTTATACCCACCCCCCGAAATCCCACAAAACCCCAACAAAAACAAATAAACAAGCAAACAACAACACCAATTTGATATCTGCCTCAATACAGTTCGAGGTGTGATGACCAGCACTAGAAAGGAGGCAGAAATTATGACTGACGATTAAAAGACCAAGCGGTATAAAACAAAATGAAGAATGTGACCAGTAAACATTGTAAATATTAACAAAAAGTTTTTTTTAATTAAATACTGACTGGTAAAGAATATTATCACATCCCTGAAATTTTAATTTGCTATAATGTTAGATCATTAAAATAAGATGTTGTCAATGATCATCGTATGACATTAAATAACGAGGCCGATAACATTTACGAGATTGTGGAAATCAATCAAAAGAAGTCATTTCACTGATACGCTTAGTTCCTGTAGACTACTTAATGTCATTACCTACTTTGTTTCCATTTTTAAATAATGTACAGTTTCAATGTACAAAATATAAAATGAATAAGTATCAAATGGGATTCACCCCTCACTGTCAAGATTGGTCCATCGCATGCACATTCTATAAACTGATGCAGGCTGGATGCATACCAGTCTAAACCGATGAAATCTAAATACACAAGCGTTTGAACTGATGCATGCTAGGTATATAACAGTTTTAACTCATGCATACTTAATACACACCCATCTAAACTGTTGCAAATTTGATGCATACCCATATAAATTTGGATATAAAAAATACAAACCAACCTAAGTTGATACATACCAATCTGAACAAACCCGGACATAGATGAGATACCAGTCAGCGCCATAAACCACTCAGCCACCAGGGGGCCCCACCAGTTTCAGCAAGAAATTCCGCAATTGACACTTTGGTTTTTTTTATGCATGCATCGTTTCGGGAGAAGGAAATAGCCATTGGAATGAATTTATAATTAACAGCAACGGACAATAGATAATAAAAAAAATTACGTTTGATACGGACACACGAGCACTACTAATCCCCACAGAGAATAAAATGTTAAGCTTCGGGGTAGGAACAGTACCTTTTCATATTTGTTTATATCTTACCATATACATGAAAAGTCCACAAAATCTTGTAACTTTATCAACCTAAACAAAACTGCTGTCACGATTATATCTTTCACTTTCTTCTTTTCTCAGCGAAAACATCAATATATGTGCTTCTAATTGCTACCCGTACGATAACGCAATTTTATATTGTTACACTTAAATCAACTTTGTCTAATGTGATGTTTTTCAGTTCCATGCATCTGTGACGAGCATCAGAGATCCTGGATAGAAACGCAAAATTGAGTGATTATTCCGTCTTAATATATGGTTTCATCACATCTTTGTATTGGAATGTAGTTGTACATAATGTTCCATCCTATCTTAACGTTCTTTGAGAAAATGTTTTAATATCTGGGACTCGCACCTGAATGCTGCAAGTTATTTTCTTGGAAAACTATGACTCTGGCATAGTGATTATAAAGTAACATGATTTATGAAAAAGAACACGATCAAACCGTTCGATATTCAGCAACTTGGTCCTTATTTGTTAATCCTGTCGTCATTGGAAAAGGTGCTTGCAATGGCGTTGAGAAATTTCATCAATAAAGCATCAACATTAGATTTTTAAACTCTCAAATATTGTTTATCTGGACATTGTGTCTGTCTAAAGATGTCTAACAATTCTCACTCATTTGCTTTTACTCCAATATTTATTGCAGTGAGCAGTGGTAGGCGGTACATCTTTATCCAGAATGTTATGTCTTTTCATTAACTCGAAGTCCAATAACATATTTCGGCAGTCCTCCTTAAAGCGCAAGAAGACTGGCCATTTAGGGCTTAATATGGATGAATTCCTTGAGTCCTCGTCGACTTGAGCGTAATATTTAAATTTTCCCAATTCAAAGTTACTCGATTGCAATCATTAATGCAAGCTGGGCAACGCAATTTACACCATCTAGCCACTTCAAATTGAGTGCAAACTTGGATGAGGAAATCTGCAGAGGATTCTAAAGATATCGTCCCCATAAAAAATAATATTTAGTTTGAGAATTATACATTTATTGGGTACCAATATGGTAGCCTAGGATATATCAGCCTGCAAGCAAATTATATAACAAAGGAAAATCATACGGCAATTGACTTGTTAAGCCATGATTACGTTCTTTCATCATTCATCAAAATCAATTTTCCTACTACTTTTGCTGTAATGCTAAAACTATAGAATGCTCTATTTTTTTAAATGGGTGGTAAATAATATATCAATTAATCTTTATATTCCCGTTAACATCAAAAGAACTACTTTATATTGATTTAGCTGACTCCCCGTATCTAACCGAAGAAATGTTAGCTCAATATAAAGTTCGTTTATTTTTTATAAAAAATAACAGTTAATTTATAACCTAAATGTTTTATGTTTGTACCTTTAAGAGCTGATCTGATAATACAGACGATACTCTCCACAGCGTACCTGTCAAATCATATTTACTCTCCACGGTAGTTCTAAGATATCACACAGCAATTATAATTTTGGAATAAAATATTACTAGTGTGTTGTTTGGAGCAATGAATATCAGGGCTATATACCCAGTGTTGCGTTAACTACGGTAGTACGTTGTATTATAGTAGACTGAATATGCATATTTTTCTTTATGTTCATATATTGAAACACGCAAACATTTATCTTGGACATGAAATCTAAACTCTATTCACACAGTCCAACCTAATGTTCCCTCAAAATATTTCATTAGAGATTTATAACTTTTTCAAGTTTCCTTTGATCAACAATTCACAATTTCGTAAACCTGAATTCTGCATGTTTCAAAATTGCATGTACAGCAATACAGTTTAAATTCATACGAGTCCTGTACATAAGCTTTATTCACTACAACGTTTATTTATTTGATGCTACGTGTATTTCTTCACATAAGTCCGTTTGATCATAAACCAGTAAATTTTATATTTCAATTAGTCCTTTGTTAGATTCATTTGACAAGTATTAAACCGCTCTGGTGACCTCTTGGTTAGAGCGTCCGCCTCGAATGCGGGAAGTCGCGGGTTCGAACCCCGGCTGAGTCATATCAAAGACTTATAAAAATGGAACTGACAGCTGTCTCGCTAGGCGCCCAACATCAAGAGGTTAGTGCTAGGACTGGTCTTCCTCGTTTCAGGATAATGTGAATAGGTGGGGCATCATGCTACATGTCTGCGGCATGATGGCCCAGTTCTAGATATCACCATAAACTGGTACACTGCAGACACTGTAGCGATATACTTAAAAATTAGTAAAGCTAGGTTAATAATCCAAATTACACATACTCAGATACAAACATGTGTTACAAAATAACTTCTACAACATATTATTCTTCATTATTCAGCATCTGTCATATAATGTTTAAACTTAATTTCCAAACTTTTTTCATTACCTTCTATTTCAGAATATTTTGCTTTTGCTTGTTTGTGTTCAAGTTCATTCTAAATAATATCGTTGGCACAGATTCAAAATTCTGCCTAGTTTATCATCAAGGGGCGTAAGTCTTGTGTTAACGTTTACTAAGTAGTGATATGATTGCATCCCTTGTTATTAGGACGCGTTAAAAAGAATAATAATTAGTTTCATGTTGGTATCTTATTTACAGTAAAATGTGTGAAGATTATAATGATATAATATAGAATGTGCGAACAGAAGACTGATAGAAATGTCACACAAGCCAAGAGAACAGAAAATGGGATCATACATACATACATACATACATACATACATACATACATACATACATACATACATACATACATACATACATACATACATACATACATACATACATACATACATACATACATACATACATACATACATACATACATACATATCCTTAAATGAAAATAATGACCTTCAACGTGAGTATAACATATTTAGATATACGAGCCACCTTACATCACAAAATAAATCGGAAACGACAATCACGGGTCAATTGAGTAATATGTTGAAATACACAGCAGAGGCAAACATGCCGTCTGTCTAAAACTCAGCAATACTTACCTAGGTAACAGGTTCAACAACGTTTTGCTAGAAAAGAACTTATATTTCTATTTTAAATTAAAATGGAATATCTTGTTCGTGTCAGAACAAAAAGAAACGTAAACTTGCTCCATCACTTTCAGTTCTGTTTTATATGTTCATATTAGATTCTGACAAAGATAACGTCAGTTGTTAGATCACGATTTGTTTCACTTGCGTTAACGTTAATTTTAATTTTTAATTTTTAAGTATCAACATGAGTAAATACATTTTTTTCAATGTGTTTAGATTATACAAATTTCAGCTTTTTTAAATTATGTTGTAGAATAAATTTTGAAATTCCTTTACAATAAAGGAGAATCCAAGTTTTCCTTGACAATTAAACAAATTCTTTTTTTTATACTTTTATTCTCTTTTCTGAGACTGAACAAGCTGTGTGATTTGCAAAATGCATATCAGGACTGGGCTAATTCCACTGTATGATATTCTTTGTACAATATTAATTTAATTTCTATAACAACTTGAAACGGTTGGTACTTAAAAACGGGGGTTGGAATCCTTCTCTATATTTATCTTCAGATCTACATATATTGGGAACACCTTTTTCTACGAAATCTTTGTGTTCCGCAAAAAAGTTCCGATCTACATATTGTTATTAAAATGCAATCTGATTGAACTCATCTGAACAGTAATGGTATTTTCAATTGTTGTCGACATTCAGACCTCGATGCTCTGCATTCAATGAAATCGAGCAGTTGGCACGCTCTTTTATTCGGAGGTTGGGGTGGAGGTTTTGTGACTAGTCGAGTCGGTTACGCCAATTATAAAATCTCATCTTGACATGAATTAATTATGAATAAAGGTCGTACTCTAGCAGTAGACAACGCCAACTATAATTGCCAGGCTACACCTATGAGCTGTTTTAAAAGTTTGGTTAGAACATAGAGTTATCTAGTTTTACGGCTAACTCTAGGAATATATTATTAGAATTTACCATGCCCAAACATATTGATATAGTCTACATGTACATAATACGGACGATAACACGGATTATGCAGTGACTCTTTTCCATTCCATTTCAACGTTTGGCTACGTTAAGTTGTGCTCTTGAACTAAGGAAATATGTTAATTTTCTGCCCTTCCAAATTCGGTAAGTGCCTGGTTTGATAACTTCTAATGAACGATGAGAAAAATAACTTGCTAATTTTATTTTGATATATGTGTCTTGTAAAACATTCAATGTTAAAATAGATAAACCAAAAAATTCCTGGTAGCTTATATATGGTCAAGAGAGAGAGAGAGAGAGAGAGAGAGAGAGAGAGAGAGAGAGAGAGAGAGAGAGAGAGAGAGAGAGAGAGAGTTGACTTAATACATGTTATTTGTGTACGCTATTAGAATGTAGTGTGTATATGAGGTAATATGGACAGATATACGCTGTGCTCTACCGACACTTGGTGATTTGTCTTGCACTTAATGCAACCTATTCCTATTCGAACCATATATAAATGTGTGTGTGTGTGTGTGTGTGTGTGTGTGTGTGTGTGTGTGTGTGTGTGTGTGAGAGAGAGTTTTAACAACATCAGTGATATTTCTTAAATGCAAGTAAAAACATTTCATTACTGAAGGATTATATGTATATAAATCAATAGTCCTTTTTCAATTGATAATCAATATTCCTTTTTCAATTGATAATCGATATTCCTTTTTCAATTGATAATATTAAACATTTGCCACACTTCTTTGTAGCGGTTGCCAAAGGCGCCAGAGGTCTTGGGGCCCCAAACCCTTTAGAGCATTCATCGTGACCGTGCGCCAATTACTCTTAGCACACCACTGGTTCGTAGTAGCCATATATATCACCTGGCTGTCTTTTATGCCTGACTACAGATGTCTATGCATTAAGACGAGTGGGCGGAGCATAGCTGATTGACTAAAGGAATTACTACTATAAGCTTTTGTCCACTATTAGTCACGGTTGATCTCTTAACACAGCAAGAGATATCTTCTCGTAATTTAAATCTAAAACGGAACATCTATTTACCTACAATTTAACGTTTGCGTTACCTGAAAGGCCTTTTGTAGACAACCTCAGTAAACAAACGCAGTTAACCATGCTAATCTTGCGTAGTTTGGTATGGCCCAAGAGTCGGGAAGTGAATGGAAATTTTAAGCCTGTCGAAATGAAATAACAATGTAATTCTCTTTTTCAGTTTTCCAGCATAGGGTGCACCTAACACTGATGTACAGGTGAAAATGCTAGGATTTAGGATAGGTTAGACTGTGGAAATGAAGTTTACCGTTGCATGGACCATGAGTCAGAGTAATAAATCAGAGATTCATAAATAGATTACAAACCTGAACAACTCTTTATGAAATGGCATCTGAAGAGGAAAGAACAATTGACAATTTTTTTGTGTGTGCCATTTGTGAACAATGCCTGCAGGAACCTAAGGAACTTCCTTGCAAGCATATGGCCTGCAGAGACTGTTTGCAGAACTATATTTTGAATAATGCGCAGGATCAGGGTTTCGAGTGTCCTTCATGTAAAAAATTAATAAGAGTGAAAGAGCCAAACAGGCCTTTGGTAGAGTGGGCGGATAAGATACCTACAAACTACGAATTAATGAACAAGTTACAGAAGATGAACTTAGATGGGAGGGACAAGCGAGTGAAATTTTGTGAACCCTGCATGGGTAAATTTATTGAGGTCTTGGCAAGCAGGCACTGTAGAAAGTGTGATATTTATTTCTGTGACAACTGTGGTAATATGCACTGGTTATTAAAGGGCTCAGATGGCCATAAAATCGTATATCTTGATCACATCGAAGCCTTCAAGCGGGATCCTCTGCTAAGCTCGGAGTTAAATGTCATATTTAATGTAAGACATAAACCTAAAATTGGCAGCGGTGGAAACAATTTAAAGACGCTTAGCAATGACTTATACGATGAGGTAAGATGTCTCGTGACTGGCGCGTGCTTCTTGGATGACGGTTGCATCGTCATTGTTGATCAAGGTAACAAGAAGCTGAAACTGTTTGATACCTATTATCATTTTATAACAGCAATGTCGATGGACGCATATGATATTGTACACCTTGGCAACTTTTTAGTTGCCCTGACATGTCCTTGCGAAAAAATGATGCGTTTTTATAATTTACAGGAACACAAATTTATTGGGACTGGAGACATTGAAACAGAAGACATGTGCTATGGACTGTGTCTAATGAACGATAAAATAGTAGTGGGATGTGCAGGGTCGGTGCCAAACCTGAAAATTATCGACGAAAATGGAGAGTTACGTACGACTCAAATTCAAAGTGGAAAGTTCTCTTTAAAAATACCATATTATGTAACATATATCAATAGCAAGAGTTATTTCTATGTATCTGATATAGACAGTAAGTGTGCCAAATGTCTTAAAGCGGATGGAAGCATTGTTTGGGAGAGGGAAATTAAGGACGCCCGAGGACTTGCCGTTTGTCGCGACTATCTCCTCATGGCTCGACAAGATCAGATTACAGTGGATATCGTAAATCACGAGGGACAGTGCATGAAATCCATCATTTCAGTCAAAGACGGAGTTAACAAGCCACATGCGATATGTGTGAAATGCTACGACGATAACATTTCACTTTTATTGAGCGACGATACGGACCTTGTGAGTGTTTTCACTCTTGAGGACCCAATGCTTGACCGTGCCATGAACGCATATCATAACAGAAGGAAGGTTTCTGACGCATCTATCACCTCTGACTCGATGAAGTCGAAGCAGACGAGATTGTGTTCCATTCTCTGACGAGAGCTCCGTGGGAATTTAAGTATCTAGTGTGTATTTTCCATCTTGTATTTGCGAAAATTACAGTTTGAAGTATTTGCTGCTGTTACCGCTGCTGCTGATCGGCGTTTACCGATCCTGATGTGCAAAAGACAAATAAGGGGAATGAACAATGCCGGAACTCAAATAAGAATAGAAAACCGTGCTATGTGGCAGCCTTATCAACAGCGTTTGTTGCTTTTTCTTAAACGTGTTGTCATCCACCGTTACGTACACTACCTA